TGATGCTGTTTTTCATAACATGTATAAATCCTTACAGTTTAATCTACATATGTAACATATAACATTTGGAAATGGATTTGTATGTAGTTTATGCACCTGAAACATTCATTTCATAGTCATTTACCTATTCAAGGTGAAAAATTTAAGGGTACACTTATTTGTCACTGCATGGGACTTTCTAATCTTTATCCCTTCATATGATATTAAAAACTGGTATATAGTGAGTTAGTTGTTACTTTCTATTGCATGTGGTTTGATGTGATTGGTTACCGGTTTACAGCCACTCCTATTTCAGATGGCTCCTCATTGTCAAAAACCATTTGCCTGATGAAGATCTAGCACCGAAACCTTGCAAACAAATTGTTTATTGCAAGTTAAACAGTAAGTGGTATTTTGTAATTGATACTTTGGATCCATTCATCCTGCTCTTACACACCTGCCTTACTTAGATGTGTTAAATGCTCTTCTGCTTACATTTGATTTAAATGCTAAAAACATGGTGTTTAAAAAGTCCAGCCCAGAGTACCCTGTCCTTCCTTAGTGCACGTTGGTCCAGTGCAGCACAAATCATATTGTATGTCTTGCCGCCGACCTTTTGTCTATTATACATACACCACACTGTCCCTTTGTCTCCACACAATTCCTGTCCATTTATTATTGGCAGGCAAATCAGTCTGATCCACCTTCACGCTCAACAAACTCAGCTCCGGTACACACAGACTCCTAAAAATAAGCCTCAACGACGCCATTTCTGTGTCTAACAGGATATGGTGCCGGGACAAATGGGCATCAGAGGGAGACAGGACGCTGGCAGGGTTTTTAAAGAGGCTACAATGTTAGACTAGGAAGGGCTGCACATAAAGTTTGCATCATGTTTGCATCAAGCCGCTCTGACGTCATGCAGCTTACAGCTCCACAGGGGATGGTGAAGTATAATAGTAACTGGGGAGACAAAAAAAAGTTTCTGTGCATGCGAGGTAGGTCAACTCACACCCGGCTCTGACACAGGTTATCTGTTATTCAGAATAATGTTTAAAGCCGTTTTGCTGTTTGTTGCTTTACGATAAAACGGCACATTTATTAAGCCCAAAGCTAACAAGCATTATTTAAATACATAACTACAAACAGGATTTTTCCACTGAAGATGGCACAGTGTAAAAGGTAAAGGTGTAAATAATAAAATGACTGACGGCTGAATTCTGTTTAGCTGCTTCAGTTTCAAGGTCATGGTATTGTGCACGATGGCTTTCTGTCACACTGTCATGGCTTATTGTTTATTACTAACACCTGCGCTTGTGTTACTTTGACAAGTTGAAATGTCTGTTGTGAAAAAGGCCTGATCTTGCCCACTCTGGCGAATCGCTAATTAAAGATAGCAGGTGTTAATCTGTTCATTTCATCTGTAATTACAAAAAACATGCACCACTGCAGTAAACATAAAGAAAACGGAAACAACATCTGAACCACGACCAAATTTTTTATCTACAGAATATACAAAACTGAAGTAATAAGCTTTGACAGTCTTGTGTTACAGCATCTGACTGAGGAAGTTGATTTAACGTGTTCCATGATTCTTATTTCTACTGTTTTGTGTTTTTTCTAATGTGCATAATGCATCTTTAGAGCTGCTGTAAGCCCTCATAATAAATGGCACAATAACAGTCAAAAAGCACCATGAAACTGTACGACGTCAAGCATGCTGGAAGAGACTTTCAGCCCCACAACACAGGGATGAAGCCAGTGTGGAAGTGCCTTCACTACAACTCCATTAAAGCTCATAACACACCGGTTCCAAAAACTTGCAGACTCCCTAAAGACCCCAACCTCTCTGTCATAACACAAAAATCAATGACGCAGTCCTACAGTGTATGTTTATAATGCATTATGCAGGTATCGGCGGTATAATACATTATCATTATTGATACAGGCTACATAGACAAGGTTACTGTTATTTTTGTTCCAGCTTTTGACTTTGTTACAAACTGTGATTATTCCAGGTGGTGTTTGTGAGCTTTCAGGCTAAGAACAAGTGAACCACCTGTGGATCAATGATGGTCTAAGCCTGCGCTGCAATCACTTATCTCCTCAGGTCGAGGTTCAAGTTTGTTCATTACCAACACAGGTGTCATGACCTACGTTCTCCCTGAGTGTGAGAGTGAAAATAAACCAGAAAACAGGTATCTGTTCATTAAATGAATTTGAATCTGTTTCATGTGAAATCAATAAAATCCTAATCCCACTCATTCAATATTTCCACCTGGTCCAACCGCATCGTTTGATCTTACCTTCTTTTACCGATTTTAACATTAGCGTCAGAAATTAGTCCAAGACCATTAAAGTTCCTCTCCTGTTTTGAACTAAGAAAAAAATACTCCACTCTGATTAATATTTTGTTTAACATGGTTTTCACACATCAAAAGTGTAAAAACATGGAAAACTGGGGCTAGAGGCATCTACTCTTACTTCCTTATTGAGAAATTCTGGATCAGGCCTCACCCACTACTGCTGCTTGCTCCATGTTGTGAGGTGAAAGAGCAGAGAGTATCAAGATGGTTAGAGGAGGAAACATATGAGAGACTCAGCCACATGTTTGAGCCTCAGTCAAACTCAGACTCAGATGAGGAGTCTGTTGAGAGAATCGGCGGCTAGCAGACATATCAGAACTGTCAGCATAGTTAGCATCTTTTATTTGTTTATGTTGTTTTTTAGCTTGTAATTGGCAGTAACTGACACACTGTTAGGGGTTGTGCTAATGCTAACGCTCTCTCTCTGTACTGACAAGGATTCAGGTTTGACAGGATTGGTTCCGCAGGTTTGTGACGTATGAATCCCTGGCTGTTTGAATCGGTTTTTATGAGACTGTCATTAGTTCACTGCAGTTCCAAGGTGAAAATATTCAGTCATGGTGTTGACTGTTTATTTTGCTCATGATATGTCTTATGTATTATATAAAAAACATCATATTGACATGACAACAAGGTTAAAAATTAGGCAACTTTTCACAAACTTAACATTAACTCATCTATTTGCTCCAGACCTTGGACTTAACTGTACTGAAAGGCTTTCACACAGTATGTCTGAGCACTGTTATCATGATTCCACGTGGCAGGTGCAGCTAGCGTACACACAATCATGCTGCACACAGAGTGAGACACACACACAACTCGATATCTGTCATTGGCCCAACAGGGGGATAAACACACCATTTTGACCAATGGGCCTTGTAATTGTACAGCCTCCCCCTCTCCTCCTGTCTTCATACTGAGAGAGAGAGTGTGTGTGTGTGTGTGTGTGTGTGTGTGTGTGTGTGTGTGTGTGTGTGTGTGTCTCTCTCCAAGAGCAAGACCTCTGATTTCCCACAGTGCAGAACATCATTTACAGCCCACTCTGAGCCTCACGCTGCACGCTTCTCTCACCAGGCTTAACTCTTCTCATACCGACTCGCTCGATATCAGAACTGCTACAGATCCTGTCTGCCAGCTTAAATCAGCCAAAACAATTACAAGGCAAGTGATCACCCACGAACAATTGGAAAAAAAAAAATGCATGAAGCTACAGAAAAACACAACTTAAATCCATCCTTTTTCAGCTACTGCAATCTTAAAAGATAGATTTGACACCAAACCATTCAAAACACAGTGAGCTCTCTTTAGCTGCAGCTCTCTGAACCACAAATGTGAAAGGACACATTCTTCATACAAGTGTACAAATGAGGGTCTACGGCCTAAAAATGCTTAAGTGATGAAAAATGAAATGTTACACAGCCAATTTAGCATGACTTTCTGACAGCAACACCCATTCCAGCCAGCCCCTCTCACCTCTTTTAAATCAATAGCAGCCTCACACTTAATGACGCCTTCTTATTCAACGTTTCCCTGAAGCCTGACACAGTCGCTGTGGTGTAATTCCACTGATGTCCTAACAGCAGCGAGGTGTTGAATTTTCATTTGGTGCAGAGTTTGTGAGGGTTATGTATGACTACATGGCATTTGCCATCATTATAGCCGTACTACTCTGTAGCCACGAGGCAATGAAGTAACCAGGTTGGCAACACTGCAGTGGATCAAACGACAGCTTTACGAGAGCTGACACACACTGTGGCCGTTCATGAGGGAAAGCTTTGGGGTTCTCCTGTCAAAGCATAGCATGGGTAGCCTCCAGCAGCATGAAATGAATTGGCACTATAATAAAGACGAGGGTGGCCAGTGATTTGCTGCTGTGTCCTGGCTGTTTAAAGACTGATGTCCTCTCAAAGCACAGTGTGTAGCATTGGTGCATTGGATTTGTCTCTTTAATGAACTGAAATTTTAAGAACCGGTTAATGGCTAAATGACCAATCCCAAACACCGCCTTTTCCTTTAATGCACCAATGACAGCCAAGTACAACAACGGACGACCTCTGTCATCTTGCCATTCTGGTGCCACAGCTACTGAGCACCTACGTTCAAATTCATAGGAAATGATTCAGATCTGCCCCAAAATTCTGTGGATTCTTCCCTCGCCAATGTTCAATTCTCCAGCAGGTTTGGTGTAAATCAGCTCAGTACTTTTTGCATAAACAAGCCGACAAACAAACCAACAACCCAACAAACAGGTAAAAACATAACCTCCTAGGTCTTCTTGGAGGTAACAATACAAACCACAATGACACATTTTGGTAGGAGATTAAAGTTAAAGTTGTACTTTAGGAAATGATGACAAAATAGATGATAAGATTGATATCACTCTCATGTCTACACTGCAAATATGAAGCTATAGACAGCAGCCAGCAGCTAGCTAGCTTAGCTTAGCTTAACATAAAGACAGAAAACAGAGGGAAACAGCAATGACCTCGTAAAGTATCATGGTGACTGTTAGAATACCATTTTACTGTATGATGCCGGCCTGAATAAAATCCTTGGCAGCGGACAAGACAAGAGGAGCCGCCCAAATGACCTCAAAGCACAGCTCAGCACAGGGAGCGATCCTAACCTCCTGAATTACATGAGCAGTAAACTTACCCTGTCCTTCATCCTCCAGCTCTGTGCCAAGGCCTTGGAGCCCTCAATCTTTTCCGAGTGCCGCTTCTTCATGAAGGCCAGGGGGAGCTTCCAGTCATTCATGTCGGCCTCCTCTTCCTCAGCCAGGCCCATGGCCGGTGAATGAAGCAAGTCTGAGTCCATTTTCATCAGGGCCCTGCGGGGGAAGGCTGGTGTTAGTAACAAAGATGTGATGGAGTTCTGTGACTGAAACTAACACCACACATCATGTAGATTTTAATAGTGTTACAGTTACAGTAAACAAAAGAATCATCAGATGGGTGGAGACCTTGTTGACTGATTGATCACAGTGTGTCAGAGTTAATGCTGCAATGTCTTCCCCCTCTTATTACCAACACTGGGCCCCCACAAAGGAATGTCATTTCTCCAGTGCTATTTACTCTTTACACAGATGAATGTAGGGCTAACTCATCCTGTTTTCAGTGTTGAAGTTACAGATGATACAGTGATTGTTGGTTTCACTGAGGATGGAACAAAGCATTGTGGATGCATTTGTTAATTGGTGTCACGCTAGTTTCCTTCAGCTTAATACCAAGAAAACTAAGGAAACGATTCTTGATTTCAGAGCAAGCAGAAGAACACACCAGCACATAACTATTAATTGCGACTGGATTAAAGGTGTAGATGAATATAAATATGGAGGGACAGTAAATGATGAAAAACTGGCATGGGATTCAATTTACAGGAAAGGATCACAACGACTGTCCTTCATACAGAAGCTTCCACAGTTTGGAGTGGACAGACATATATTGGTTCTCTTTTATTCTAACTTTCTGCTTTATCGCTTGGTATTTCTCACTGCCTGCAGTTCATATAAACAAACTCAATAAGATTGTTAATATGTCTAGCAACACTGCAGCTGAAGGATGACAAGTAAGTGCAGGCAATTCTCAGTGATGTATCACACCCTCTCTATGGTGAATACAAGTTGTTACCATCTGGTCAGAGGTGGAGGGTACCACATTTGCAGACTTTCCTGTGCCCAGAGGTCCTTTATCTTTTCCAGCATTGCTCTGTTAAACAAACGCTCAAGATATGAGGATTGTGTCACTTGCATTTGTTTTACCTAATTCCTGATTGTTGGTGATGCTACTGTGAAGCACTTTGTTGTTGAATGTCTGTCTTTATAATGCCTGTTTTTCTGTTGTAGTTGTATTTATCTAGGAGAATTTTCAAAAGGATAAGAAACCATACTAATTAACAACAACAGGTTCAAATTAGCCACTTGAGTTACTACTTAACTACTGCATGTTTAAGGGAAATCTTAAAATGACAGTTGAGTTCAGTTGCACTGATTCTTTTAAACATCACTTGGAGGAAACAAGCTGAAGTAATTTTCTCCTCATAAGGCAGGAGTTCCATCCATCAGGCAAGAGGAAGATATTTCGTAATATATGCAACCTGTCTGTACAGCCACGCTATCATAAAGTTGCGTAAATGTGGTGGTGGGCCAAAAATCATAAATTAGACAGTAAAAACAGAACATCTACACAATAGGGCTGAGTATCACAAGTCAGTGTTTTTAAGGTACCAACAAATATCTCTGTAACATAATCAAAAAATATCAAGTAGTGACAAGACACTGTCAGACTGCTGTATTTACTATGGTAATCTTGTTTGTTCTTGCATCACTTAGTTTTAAAATTTTTGATCTTCACAGGAAGGTATCAAAAAAGTAGGTCTAGTATCCTATTGTGATTATTATCAAAAAATGTCAAACAAGTCATGACCTAACTTCCACCTGAAGGGCTTTCCATGCAGCTGTGATGTTTCACACAAGCAACTCTTTCTCTTGGAACTGAGCACTGTTGCCGTGGAAACCATTCTTAACACCGTTTCTACTAATGTCAAGGTGGTGATGCATTCACTGCAACTGGCTGTCGAAAAATGACAGTTTATGACCTTCATCAAAAAAGTTACTTCATGGGATGATGATGTTTATGAGTCATGTTTAAACCTCTCCTGTTTGAATGAAAGCCTGAGCAACAACTGGCACCAAACACACACTCAGCTTTACTGTTAGCTGTCTAGCTGCCTAACTTTCCTTACTGTGGTATTAAGGTTGTTTTTACACTCAGACAGAAAGCAACACCTGGATGGTGTCATGATGGTGCTCTAGCTGGCCACAGGTGAGGAACTATGGGTTATGTGCATCTGTAGTCACGTTAACCCGGCCTGGCTGTGTCAGTCCTGACTTCACATGGAGCACCTGGCACGACAGTTAACAAACACACCGGTCAGCTAGCTAACTGTTAGCCAAGCTAACGCGGCTAATTTGACAGCTCTCCCTAAAGCCAGCTGTCTACATGGCTGGCTACATGAGAAGCGAGTGCTATTTAAAGACTTTCTCTGGGTATCTTGCGAAACAACCTGAGCACAGAGATAATTGAGACAGAGCAGATGTGCACAAATGGCGCTGGTAGTGGCGGTGGAGCGTGTAGTTGCAGACCTCGGTGCTGTGGGATTATCTACCCGGGCTGGGGAACCTCTCCGCCTCCGGACGATGACAGACACGGTCGCACAAACAATCCTGGTCAGAAAATTGTAGGGCAGCGTCCACAGCCTGTACAGTATGTCAAACCCGTCAAATCCGAGTTGGACGGGTGCGTGTTTGCAGGGGAATCTGCGGCTCCTCTCCCCACGGCTCTTCGCTATGGGAAGGGGCTGGAGACGAGGCCCATCTTCACACGGACAGTCTGCCACAGCCACACGAAGCACCGGCCACACTTATCGATGACTGGGTCCTCAGGTCTTCTTCTACAAACCAGCGACCCGAGGAGCTGATCTGGTGGGATAGTTTTGGCGGAAATCACATAAAATCCCGAGAATTTCTCCGGAGAAGCACTTCTTCAGCACTTCTGCAAGGGCGCAGCCATCTTGGGTTGGACCCAGAATGCACTATTGGGGCGGCGAGACTGTCGTGAAACGTCACCGTCGTTGTTCGTGGCTGTCACAGTGTGTGTGTGTAACACACACGCACACACACACGCTCACACACACACGCACACACACATGCGCACGCACACACTCCATGGAAAACTAAAAATATTTATGTTTTTATATCTCTCTTTGCTTATGTCGATGTCAACGGACCAGAGTTACTCACTTATCTCTTCAATAGTTGTAATTTTAAATTTAAAGTTTTTGGCGAAAGATGTGAAATATAAGGACTCCAAATTTCGTTTTTATTATGAATGTAGCTAATGATATTAATGAGTATTTTTATTCACACTGAAAATTTGCATGTCTATTTACATTTTGACCATATTATTTTGTCGAAAATAAGTGAAAATCATGCACATCTGAGCAGTGGTTTCATAATCACAATAGGCAGTTAAGCCACACTTACTTCACTTTTCAACCTAGAAGAAGAAGAGTTTGATTCTAGTTTAGTCTCACTCAAGCCAGGCTTTCCACGATGAGCCATGCTTTTCTGAGCCTACAACACTCCTCTGAACTACACCAAGCTAATATTACCATATACTGTGTGTGACTTCCAGTGTAGTAAAAGTGATTTTTATATTCTCTTGTACCATTGACGTACCTCCCAGAAGGGCTGGACACAATAATGTGCACACCCCTTACACTAATGCTATGCAACAGTGCAGCTTTGTGAGGCTGTAATGTGCAATTTTTGTTGATACTATGTATGTGTGGATTCAACTTCATGGTCATTTCTGAGGCTATTTGTGGTGGTATTGTGTTATTGTGTCACTTCTCTGACAGCCACAAAAACAATGTTACAAGCTTATTTTATGTGTGTTCATGGAATTGTGACTTTGTTTTGATGTTGTTTTGTTTTGATTCTTAATGTTCCCACTAAAGAAACAATGAAAAACTTTGAGGACACACAAACAGCAGTAGAACTTGAGAGAAGAAGAAGAGCATCATAGAACAAAAAACTTGAATATATTTTTACTTTTATTTTGCTGTCATAGTCAGACACTTCAAATAAGAAGTTACATCTGTAATATCTGAGGAAGGTATCAGACTGTTTTGTTCGCTCATTACCATTACCAATGAAAATAAATAGTGCCGTATTTAACAAGATATTTGTTTTGATCTGTTATTTCTCTTTTTGTTCATTCAAACAAACACTGATATTCACATTTCCTCATATTCAGAGTTTAAAACAAGTATCCTGGATTTACCTACCTTTTAAATAATTGATAGCTTAAACAACTGAGCCACTGAGACACAATAGAATTAATATAATGTAGTCTAGGAACATATTAACTTGAGCATAAGAGGTCAATATTTATATGCCTTTTTAGCCTGTTATTGGCTGTTATCTGGGTTTAATTGAATTATTAAATATTCATTTTGCTAATCCCAGGATCTCATGATATATCCTCATGGAGGCCTAAATCTGAATCTTAAACTCAAATCAATATTTACATTGCAGGAGGGAGTGAAGGTGGCATAAATATAAAAATTCAAAATGAACTCAAGTCTGTTTATCTATGTACAACAAATGTTGACCTAAGTGACACAATGAACAGCAATAAAGCTAAAACTTTTTTGTTTTAAAAAATGTCAAATGTATCTTTCTGTTATTTTATGTGAAATGATTCTGAAAAGATCGAGGTCCAGACTGTGCACATGAAACAAAGGTATTATTACAGTCTCCTTCATTAAAGGGAAATTTCAATGAAAAGTAGTCAACTGCATCCGAGTTTTTTATTAAATGTGACTAGAAGAACAAATCAAGGAAACATCATTCAAAATCAAGCATCTATGTAATCTTGCACTGTATAGAATATGTATTCCATGTTTATTTCATTATTTCCACAGGTAATGGGATAGCAGTATCAAGTCTATGGACCATGGCTATTTTAATAGCCAAGTGAAGACGTGTGCAGCATCTCCTGTCTGTGTGATGTGTTGTACCCTGAGCCAGTTCACCTGAAAGCTGCATCCATCAAAAATAGCAGGGGAGCAGCTGCTCTAAAACCCTCACTGTATGTGGGAGCGTTGTAAAAGTAGCCTGTGCTGTGTTTAAGTCATAGACCTGCTCTCAGACTTGTGACTCAGTTGCTACAAAGATGAGATGTTGTCAGAGGATAAAATAATATCAGCATTTTGATTGTTGCCATGCCACTTCATATTCGGCTCAATTATTCAAGTAGTCAGGGGGCACCAGGATACACAAACTAGGCAAATGCTTGGGGCCCCCAAAGGAGAAAAGAGGCCCCTGATGGCCCTTCATATTGGCACATTTTGCGACGACAACTATACACCCCCGTAAATCTCCCTTTAAGACACTATATTGTGCACTGTCGCTGCCCCTAAACCCAGCTAAATGAGCCCCTGATGATGTGTGCTGTAGCCAGCCCCTTCCACAGAATGCATAGGGGGTGTTCAGGGATCATCAGTAAATTGTACCGTCTAACATAATATGAATATGAGGTGTTTAGGGGACATCTAGGCCACACCCACACTGCTACACCTGAAAATGGATATATTCATGACCATTCAAGTGCACTGAGCGTGTGCAAGCCGGTGTAAACAGGAAGCAGATTGTCTACTCTGAAGTTGGTTAGTTGCACAAAATACTACACATGAGGAACAGCAAAGCGTTAAAATGGAGAATTTAACTGCACAACAGTTGCTAGCAAAGACAACACGGTCAGTAACACTTCATCAAATCATTTTCCATGTTACATCCACCACTGGTAGTCGAGGCTGATAAGACCCAATCAGGGAGCGACCATGGATGTCTACATCATTGTTTCCAAAGGCCTCTGTTTTTGCTTTTCCAAACTACAACGCAACCCTGGAGTTTTCAAACTAAAACGGGTCCAGCACATAGACTGTATGTAAAGGGTCCAGCAGCATTTCCAAAAGTCTCGGTTTTTCACTACTCCAGAGCAGTGTGGACGCCAGGAGTAAACATGGCAGAAGAGAAGAGATGAGTTTTAAAAATAAAACGTAGTAGTGTGGACGTAGCTGGACAGCAAAGTCTCATATTCACTCTCATTCACACTAAAGATTGAACACATTTTTTCTCACATTGTCAAAAAAAATATTGTGTTTAAAACAAAACAAAAATGAATAACTGAAGATGGGTAGTTTGAATAACACAATTCCACTTGTTGTGTTTGTTCTTTTTCCACAACATGGTGGTGTTTGCTGTGCAACAGCCTTGTTTTCTCAGCACCTGCATGAGTCAAGTGAACAAAGTGTATTTACACGTAATTTGTCCCCAACATCCTTTGCTGTCAGGCTTCACACTCATTTCTCAAACAGCAGGAGCTAAAGGTTTGTTTTTGAAAGAGAGAGAAAGCTGTCCCATCTGTCCCCGAGTCAAAATCTAACACCAGTCTGCGTAGACCCACTCAGGCAGTTGGTCGTGACATTACTGAGAGCCCTTTAATTGAGAGACTACAATCAACATGTTTACCAGTTTGTTCGTGGTCAACAAAGAGATTTGCTCTAAGGCCTTCAATGACTTTAATCAAGCACAACACAGTCTGTCTTGGGCACAAAGGACAATGCTGCGCTGAGATGACTAACAGCTTTCTTTGGGCTGTCAGCTCATCAGAAAACATGAAAATGCTACACCAGATGGATGGAGCAGGAAAATATCCCACTCAGTGCATTCGCCAGTGCGGCAATCATCTCCTCAGCCTCTTGGCTTGCCGCACTAACAGCGCAGGAGCAATCTGGTGTGTAAGAAACTCAGGTACATCCGACTGAATTTGTTCATCTCGCCTCCCGGTCCCAGTGTCCACTGCAGGGGGGAAACAAATCCAATCTCTTAGGTGTGATAGAGGTGGGGACCCTGGGATAGCTGATAGCTAACACAGGGGAGAGGAAAGAGAAGATTAGTCTACTTTTTTCTCCTCATCCGCCCTTCTGTCAGGCAGGGAACAAGGTGACATGATCAACTGGGCTGGATCCTGGAAGCTGGAGCCAAATAAGACAGGGGCAGGAAAAGGCTAAAAGTCCTTTTCCCAAGGATTGATTGCAACAAGGCAAGAGAAAGAGCGAGAGAGAACAGACACTGATGGATGGATGGATGGATTTGAGGAAGCGACTGTTTCACGAGAGGAAGCTATGCTATCATGTGAACCTCCACCAGCACCAACAGCACCAACCAGTGACTCCTCTCAAGAAGGGAAACTGGAGACCCAAGAGCTGTAATGGAGAATTAATCCTCTGCTCTTGTGCTCTCATGTCTCATAAGGATACATATTATACAGGAACTTTCTCACTTACCACTGTCATAAATCAAGTGCAACAAGATTTGAAATGTTTTAGAGATAGATACTAGAAGCTGAAACCCCCTAAAACTAAAGTTTCAAGGAAGATAAAAGGCTATTCTGAGTTTTCTTGTCCACAATAAAGACCGGATTCTCTGTACACCTTAATCATGTTCCCCATTGGTGTTTTCAAGCCAAGGTTCACAGTATATCAATGAAAACACTGCTGCAGTGATGAATGCTTTGTACTCTGTTGCATGCT